TTTAGACAATTTTTAAAAAAAATCATTCAGTTTTCTAAAATTTATTGAAAAATCACAGAAAACGTCGTATCTCGAAAACTACAAGAAAATGAGCAGTCATATTTGGAGACAAGATTCGCAACTCCTGAGAGTTCCCTGACAGCACCCAACCACAGGGTAAGGAATTTGATATTTTGAAAAAAAAATCGTTCAGTTTTCTAAAATTTATTGAAAAATCACAAAAAACGTCATATCTCGAAAACTACAAGAAAATGAGCAGTCATATTTGGAGGCAAGATTCGCAACTCCTGAGACTTACCTGACAGCACCCAACCACAGGGTGAGGAATTTCAACCACAGGGTGAGGAACCCAACCACAGGGTGAGGAACCCAACCACAGGGTGAGAAAACTGAATGATTTTTTGGAAACATTTTTGAAAAAAAAATAATTCAGTTTTCTAAAATTTATTGAAAAATCACAGAAAACGTCATATCTCGAAAACTACAAGAAAATGAGCAGTCATATTTGGAGGCAAGATTCGCAACTCCTGAGAGTTCCCTGACAGCACCCAACCACAGGGTAAGAAATTTCAAATTTTGAAAAAAAAATCGTTCAGTATTCTAAAATTTATTGAAAATCACAAAAAACGTCATATCTCGAAAACTACAACGATTTGAGCAGTCATACTTGGAGGCAAGATTCGCAACCCATGAGAGTACCCTTACAGCACCCAAATACAGGGTAAAGAATTTCAAGATTAAAAAAATACAACGAAAGACAGAAAAAAAAAGATAGAAAAAAAGATAGAAAAGATTGAAAAAAAGATAAAAAGAGGAATAGAAAAAACTGATAGAAAAAAGATAAGAAAAGAGATAAGAAAAAAAGATAACAAAAAAATAGATTTAAAAAGAAAAAAAAAGAGAAACCGGAGACAACTGTTTGACAGTAGTACTATTTTGAACTAAATCGTCGAAATCAAATTCAAAGTTAAAAAATTAGGAGACGGGTATACAGAAATAACCAAACTAATTAAAAAAGCAGGTAATCAGACAGAGAGACAGACTTGTTTTGGCCTCGAAAGAAATTACTCAAAAATTGATGACCTTGCGGAAAACTAACGGAAAAATTTTCTTAAGCATTGCAACATATGATATAGTCTAAACATGAAAAACTCTTTCGTTAAACATGCAAAACTATTAAGCTTAAACATGGGAGATAGCTGTCACTAGAATTTAAATATAGTATAGATTTCGGGAAATTCTTGTTTACATGGGCTGTAACCTTTTTCAAATTAAATAACAATTAGGTTGTGACGAAATTGTACTTGTCCTCGAGCGGGATCAGATTCTGGTTTTATAAAAAGGGAGTACTATATTGTCGTCGAAATTTTCGTTATATTCGATCATTTTTTATATCTTAAGACTGTTAATGTGTAACTTTCAATATGTCTTATTGGTTGATTCCAATTATAGATACGTACTGGTTTTTTCATGTATGATTTCTTAATTCTTCGTTTTCCTTTAATTGATGATGGTGATGTAGCTCCTGAGTCAGAAAATGTTTTTGGATTTGAAACGAATTTTTCGTGTTTATCGAATCGTTCAAAACCTGAAGTTCCTGTATCGTGTTTGTAGCTGATTCTGAGACTGCGTTTCGTCTTTTTGGAAATCGTCTTTTGATAATTTGTTTTAGTTTGGTTATTATTGTAATTTTACGTGTTTGTCTTTTTGATCTGATATATCCTTTTGTTTGTTTGTGAGGTGTAATTACAAGATCATATCTTTTGTTTTTAATTAAACATTTATGTAATATGATTCTTTGTTTACTGCCTAAATTATCTCTTGAAAGAAGTTTTAGGATAAGAGATGCAATCATTCGAGAGTTAGAGTTTCTATTTTCTTAAACTGTTAGTTCTTACGATTTTGTGTGGTTATCTTAATTTGGGGCAAAGATTGTCGTAATTGACGGGTTGGAGAGAGAGTATATCAATTCACGAGAATGATTTTTTACTTTCTCGTGACTAGGTTTTAATCTTAGATGGACTTAATTAATCTTACTTTGGGTTTGTGATCATGGGTTGGAGAATAGTAAATCAACCCACAGTAGTAGGATGAATAGTAGTTCAATGTTTAGGTATAATTAGAACACAGGTAGACCGTTAGATACTATTTTATGACGTACTAAGTTATAAGTGTTTTAGCCTGAGTCATCTAAGAGGAGGGGCTCAAGTGAAGGATGAGTAATCGAAGTTCTTCACTTTCTATCCTTATTCAAATGGTTAGTTTTTTCAAAAATTTCTCTTAGTCCTGGGTCGTTTGTAAGGATTGGAAAGTGAAACGACGTCTTAGGTCGTTGGCCACTTAAAGTAATTTGGTTGGGAGAACATGAATTGTTTTATTATGATCCAAGGCAGGCCTTGATGATCAGAAATTAAAGGAATTAATTTAAGTGAACTTAAAGATCCGAGGAAAGCCTTGATGATCTTTTCATTAAATAAAGGTGATTTAAGAGAAAACAAGGATAAGCCTTGATAAAATTTTTATAAAAGTTCAAGTCTAGAAAGTTTTAATTTAGTGTTTGAATGGTATTACTTTTTGGGTTGATGCTCTTGAATTTTAGATGATGAAGCAGGGATTAAGAAAAAATTTTGCGTGCAAATTAATGAAACTAACAATAAATTTATACCAACTAATTTTTGTATTTTTTATTCAACAAATAAATTTATTCAGAAGTTTTGATTTAATCCAGATTTTGGGGGGAACGAATTGTGTTCTTTTTATCAGTCGTTAATGTTTAAATATTAGATTTAGCACCATTTGAATTGAATAATTATTGTTTGGATTGTTTTTAAGTCAACAAATGGAAATCTGAATTTACTGCGTAAAGGATTCTAAAAACAAAAACTTCTTCTTCCGGCGTTCGTTTCACTAGTATATGGTGGATTGGTCGGTTCCTTCCTAATCGTTGTTCACGCCTCGTTCTTGGTCTTCTTGCAATACCTGGTAATTCTCGTATTGTTCGGAAAATTGGCGTAGATCTATTGAGTCGTAGAGACATTTCTAATAAATTCTCTTTCCATGTAACATTTTTGCGATTTTCTAATTGTCTAATTTTAATTTTAGTTGTCCAATTCTAGATTGGTTAAGGTCTTGTTTGAGATTTATGATCGCACCAGATGAGTTATGACCTTTTGGTTATACTCATTGAGTAATTTCAGATAAGGTACACTGTCTGTTCGTCAAGCTATCTTATTTTCGGCCGGATAGATTCGTGCAATTTCTTAGTCTTATACCAATCTTGATTTTACTCTTATATCTCCTAGTTTCAATAGATCTAGAGCAAACTGGTTTTTGCGTATTAGTTCTTGGAGTTTTATCCAGAAGGAGAACAACTGCAGTCTAAGATTTATTCAAATTGTTCTGGTGCTGAAACTACAAGTAGTTTCAGCACTTACAAATAAATGTCAATGTTAGAGATACAATATGCTTGGTTAGTAGTAATATTTTACAAAGATAGCGAATTATAATAAGGTCCAATTAAAAATACTAGTTTAGAACTGGTTCCAAAAATTAGGACCGATAATGCTACTGGGAAAAACTGAGTAGAACTTGAGTCTACGAATTCTCATTTGACGCACGCCACTTATGAGTCTACACAACTGCTAAATGACGCAAGCCAATTATGACGCATTAGCAAAACCAGTCAATTTGAAAAGAAAAAGAATTTTACCAACTAACATGCCTCAATTTATAGAGCGGACGCATTTTAACTAGTACACGAAAAAGTTCATGAAAAACATCCCACCTTGCCCAGGTTCGAACCCTCTGATTTTCTTGCGATTCTCCTTCCCTGCGTCTACGCTACAGATCCATTATACCTTGAAGCTAAAGTGCTTTTTTACTATAATAGTTTGTGTTAATATCCTTAGGATTGGCTATACTTAATAGCTGGTTATTGGTCAAAATGAACACTTTCAAAATGAACACATTTTGTCGCAACACTGTTTCCGGCTTAGGTTGGAAAAAAAAAGATAGTTCAGACTATAACACAAGCTTTGCTTGTGTATATACGAATAACAGAGCGACTAGAGGCGGCGGAACGATGATACAGCTGCTTACTCATCAACAAACGTAATTAAGCAAATGTCCCGGTGTATTGCTATGGTGTATTTTGTGAAAACACCTCGAAAAAACTTGAGAAGAAATCCAATTTACACCCGTTGGTTGGGTGCTAACACTCGAGCTCCATAGCTACCGATTGTAATAAAATTTCAACAACCCACATCTCGTATTTTTCTAGAAAAAGCGGTTTTGTGAAGAAAAAAAATGAATTCTTTGTTTGTAATTACTCTGAAATACTAATTTTTTTTTTCATTTTTTAAAAATTGAATAAATATTTCCGACAAAAGCACACACGAACCATGTGAACAATCTTCCCCATTAATAGACCAAGTGACCAATATCTCCCCCAAAATTAAATGGTAAACTTAAGACGTAAAGACTGCATGTACTATGCTCAAATCTGATTGGCACTTGGTCCGCACACATCTCTTCATTTCCGACAAGGCTCAAAATTTTTGTTCTCACTCAGCAGATTGCTTTTTAATGACATCTGTCACTCCGAAATTTTTGAAAAACATATCAAATGATAACAAACGTCTTCTCAAGAGGACGTTTAAAGCACGTTACATCACACGTCTTGTTTCATAATGAGCACGCAATTAATTTCAAGGTTCATTCAGCACTGCACAGTAGGCTCTCAAACATTCGGTTTTGTTTATCAAAAAGAAGCTTACCTAACATTTAAAACTCAATGTAAAGTAAGCTACTTTGTGGTACACAAATCCGAATGTTTGCGAGCCTACTGTGCAGCGCTAAATAATATTGAAATTAAATGCGTACTGATTAGAAACTTAAAAACTCACAGTGCATGGTTTGTTGGGGAAATAAGTTTATATGTTTTCTGTGGGGGCTGCGTGTGGAGGGGGTTAAGGGTGCGATTTTGGGCTGACGAAACTTACATCAGGGTGGTCCTTTCTGGTCATGCCCTCTCCAATCGCACTCTTCATGAGCCGGGAGAGAGATGGGAGCACATTCACTGGCGGGTAGATCTGCTTGTTGTGTAGCTGTCGGTCTATGTAGATCTGGCCTTCAAACAAAAAACCCACAATTAGTCATCGTGAACAACCATGCGTACTCAACTTCAACTTATTTACTCTGCTCCTTTATTTCTGGCTTAAACATATTCAACTTCATCCAAGTTTCGAAACTAGTTTGGCAAGGTTTATTTATCATTCTAGAAGCTATACAACAAATGAAACTGGTTCATCTCCACTGGTTCTCTCATCAATGTATATGGTCATCAATGGACAGACTGCGTCGAAATATGGCTACTGCTGATTGCCAAGGATAATATTCACACAAAACATGTATGTATTGGGTGGAGGGATGGATGGATCAGCTACATGAGATGAGATTGAGTTGTTTTCGAGAGGAGTCAAAAAATTTCAAAAAACAGTAGAAAAACCCAAAATTTGACTATTCCGAGGGCCATTTTTTTGTAAAAAAACTGGGCGCAGCCGCTTATGCAAAGGATTTTCCTACAACCGATTCTACTCATTAACCCAAAATCTCAGACTTGAGATAATATTTTTTGAGAAAAGTCAAAAAGTTTCGAAAAACGGACAAAAAATCGAAAGTTTAAACTCTTCGAAGGTCATAACTTTTCGTGTTAAGAAAATTTGAGCAAACTTTTTGTGAGCAAAATTCATAATGGTGGCCTCTTTTGAAAACTGAGTATTTTTTGAGAAAAGCTAAACGTTTTGAATTATTGAAAAAATTTTGCAAAGCGTCACAAAAATAATTCAAAATTAAAAAAACCCCCATCCCATACATTTTCATTAAGCTGGAGGAAATAATAATTTTGGAATTTGTTTAAAAGTTTGACTTTGTTTAATAATTTTGGACTTTGTTGTACTGATGCGGGATGCAATAGCTAACTTCAAAAATGGGCGTCATCCAAGACCTCAATTGATGCTCTATTAAGACATCAGAAAATTTTTGTGATTTTTGAACTTTCACAGAGACATAATTTTTTGTATACAAATTAAGGCGTAGCTTTTATGCACGGAGCCTTTCCACGACCTGTTGCCTCGATTAAAGCGTTGAGTTCAGTTTAAGATATTTATGAGAAGTCAAAAAGTTTCAAACAACGGACAAGAAATCAAAACACTGATTTTCAGAAGGCCATCTTTTTAGTGGAAAAATTGACGTGAGCGTTTACACAGGAAACTTCGCAAACCTATTTTTATTGCACCCAAAACCTCAGATTTGGGAGGGTAGTTAACCAGAAAAGTCAAAATCTGTAAAAAGAAACTATCAAAAGTCGAAGCTTTTTGTGTAAAAAATGATCATTATAGCATAGCTTTAGGAGGGTAGTTACCGAGAAAAGTGAAAAAATTGTGAAGAAACTATCAAACAATCAAAAAAGCGTGTTTCGAGCTTCATTACTTTTTGTGTAAAAAAAAATTGTCATCGCTTAGCAGGTAAACTTCCCAAAACCTGTGCTACCCATTGATATCGAAATCTCAGGATAAGAGTGTAGTTTACGGAAAAAAGTACAGCCAAAAAAATCGATACTTTTTGACATTTCCGAGAGGCATATCTGTTTGTGCGACAACATTTAAGTAACCCCTTATGTAGGGGAGCTTCATACAAACCGTTCTACCCATTGACAGGAAAAACTCGATTTCGGAGGGTAATTTCCGGAAAATCAAGCAAATTCAAAGACGTTCAAAAAAAACAAAAATTCGACTTTTCCGGAGATCAGATTTTTCTGTGTACACAAATTTGGGCTAAACCGCCTATCCAAAGTAGCTTCCCACAACCCTATCTACCCATTGAAATCAATATCTCACAGATGGGTGGGTCGTTTTCCAGATAAAGCAGAAAATTTCAAAAAACGGTCAAAAAAATCCAAAACTTCAATTTTCTGGGGGCCATAGCTTTAAGTGTAAAAAAATTCGGACTTTCCACAACCTGTTCAACCGATTTAATTCAAAATCTCAGATTTCGTAGAGTAATTTTTCAGAAACAGTCAAACGCCATAAAACAGGTCAAAAATTCCCCCACACTTCTAAGGTTGTAGAAAGTGGAGTAAGGTGAAAGGAGTCTAGGGATATACGCAGGTACACAATTTGAGGCGCATAGTTCTCATTGGTACTTCTTTTTTAAAACGGGAAGAGTAGTTTCTGAGAAAAACTTTTTGAAAGTGAAAAAATTTTTCAAAGCATCACAGAAAAAATTAAATACAAAAAAGAATAAAAAAACCGACCATTAACAATTTCATGAAGCTGCAAACACCTGATTGATAATTTTTTTGAAAATATTTGATGGCGTAGCGTCTTAGGCGCGGATCGTTTCCACAACCTTTTACCTCATAAACCCTTGATATCAGATGTTTTCGAGAAGAGTCAAAAAGTTTCAAAAAACGGACAAGAAATCAAAACATTGATTTTGAGAAGGCCACCACAACTTTTAGTGGACAATTTGGAAATGAACGATTACACAGGGGAGCTTCGCTTGAACCTTTCTCTTGATTGAGACCAAAATTTAAGTTTTGTGAGCGTAGTTTCCGAGAAAGTTCGAAAAGTTTAAAGAAACGGTCAAAAAATCTAAAAACTGACTTTCCGAGGGTCAGAAAGTTTTCAAGTAGAAAAATTTGGGGTTTTTCACTTGAGCAGGTAAGCTTCCCATAACCCGCCCTAACCTTTGAATTCTAAACCTCAGATTCGCGAGGGTAATTTTTAAGAAAAACTAGCATGTAACGCACCTACGGTGCTTCGAATTTTTGAAAACTCATGAAAAACTGTGCACACATTGGAAACCACATCTACAGGCTTTTAGTTAAATCTGCGAGTACCCAATTACAAAGCTCGTAATATGATATTTTATTATTTTTTCAATTCCTATTTTTCGTCATATCGAAAAAATCAAGCCTCGAAAAGTAAAAATATTGAGTAGTCATAATTGGAGGCAAAATTTACAACTCCTGGGAGTACCCTGGCACCATCCAATTACAGGGTTGGGATATTTAACATTTGAGAATTTTTCGAAACCTAAGTTAATTGAAAAATCAATTTGAAAAAATCCTCGTATCTCGAAAACTACCAGGATTTGAGCAGTCATGTTTGGAGTTGATGCCGTGTTCTTGCCGCGTTCTTGATAACATGTTCTTGCCGTTGATCTTGCTGACAGCTTGCCAGATTTTCTCTGTCGAAAGGCGAGTGTTCTCCACGAATTCCATCCATTTTGTTTTCCTGTGGTTGAGGATTCTCTTTTTTATTTCAGCCTTCTTCCTCGTATCTCGAATTTTTTTTTAATCCTCGTATCTCGCTCGAAAACTACCAGGATTTTAGCAGTCATATTTGGAGGCGAGATTCAAAACCCTATGAGTACTCTGACAGCCCCCAATGAGGGTTGGGAATTTCAATTTCCGCCCAAAGTGCTTCAGATGAAGACACCATGCCATCGGGGTCAGCTGCTTAAGATTTGGAAGTCTTCTTTATCGCTTTCAGAACATCTTCGGTGGTGACCGTGAACAAGTTTTCCTGTGAGTTACAGCTTCGCAGCGTTCCGTTTACTTTTCCTTATTTCTGGCGAACTCTTCACTTCGCAATTGTTCGAGAGGAAACGGTTCAACTTGATGATTTTCTTGGTTTTAGTGACCACTTTTTCGTCAAATATGAGGGCGGTGTTTTTCTGTGGAGGTTTCTTGCCGTTGATCTTGCTGACAGCTAGCCAGATTTTCTCTGTCAAAGGCGAGTGTTCTCCACGAATTCCATCCAATTTGTTTTCCTGTGGTTGACGATTCTCTTTTTCATCTCAGAATTCTTCCTCCTATCTCGAAATTTTTTTTAAAATCCTCGTATCTCGAAAACTACCAGGATTTGAGCAGTCATGTTTGGAGGCGAGATTCCAAACCCTTATGAGTACTCTGACAGCCCCCACTGAGGGTTGGGAATTTCAATTTTCGAAAAAAAAGTTTGTGTGGGTTTTCTGAAAAAATCACAAATAAAGCTATATCTCAAAAAGTACAAGAAATTGAGTAGTCATATTTTGAGTCAAGATTCGCAAACCCTGAGAGTACTCTGACAACCCCCAATTACAGGGTTGGGAATTTCAAATTAAGAAAAAGAATTTAAAAATCGCAAAAAAATGCCTATCTCTAAAACTATAAGAATTTGAGCAGTAAAAATTAGAGGCGAGGTTCGCAATACCTGAGAGTAATCCGATAGCCCCCATTAACATGGTTGGGAGTTTCAAAATTTGAGGGAAAAAAAATTGTTAACTTCAACATTTTTTTTTTGAAAACTCGTTCAACATGCAAAACTATTAAGCTTAAACATGGGAGATAGCTGTCACTAGCATTTAAATATAGTATAGATTTCAAAAAACTGTCAAAATATCCATGACTTTTCTGAGGGCCATAACTTTTTCTGTAAAAACATTCGTCTTAGCCGGTTATGCAGGGGAGCTTTCCACAACCTGTTATCCTGAGAAACAGAAAAAAAAATTATAAAACATAGGTCAAAAAGTCCCCCCACACTCTTTTAAGGCTGTAGAAAGTGGAGTAGGTTGAAAAGAGCGTAGGGATATATGCAGGTACACAGGCTAGTGGGCGGAGTTTCCATGTGTACCACTTTTTTGAAAATATTTAAAGTAGTTTCTGAGAAACACTAAGTTTTTGAAAAGAGAAAAAATTCTCCAAGCGTCACAGAAAATAAAAAAACCCGATCCTAAACAAGTTCTGCAGATACCTGTTTGATCATTTTTGACTTTGTACCGATGTGGGATGAAATAGGTTATTTCAAATTTGGACTTCAAAGATATTCACTGTTGCTCTATTAAAATATGAGTAAAATTTTTTTGTGAATTTTGAACTTTACCAGAGACATTTTTTTAACACAAGACGCAAATTTTTATGCACAGATCCTTTCCACAACCTGTTGCCTCGATAGGGTATTTTAATGTAGTGTACTGTAATGTAGGGATGAGTTGTTAGTTTCGGTCGCGGCTCTTTTTGGGTCGGTCCACAAGGTTTCTGGAGCTAGGTTGGTTAGGCATGCTAGCACTTGTTCCACTCTTTTT